GGTGGGGCACCTGGGGGTCACCAAGATGCCCGCCTCCCCGTGAGCCTCCATTCGGTCAGGGTTACTTACTCTGTTCACCCCAGCCAAAATAATTCCAGTTGCCTACAAAGAGAAGGGGCAGAGATGATAAAGGGGGGCGGAGGGAGGGGCTCTCCCTGCGTCCTCCCCTCCCCGGGTCCCCCAGGGTCCCCCTCATGGCTGACATCTGCTTCCTTTGGACCCTCTTCCCTGGCCTCAGCCAGAAAGCAGCAGTGAGGGCATCTGGACCCAGGGCTTGCAGACTCTGAAGTCTGGGGTCAGAGTTGCCCACCTCTTCCCTCCCCCCAGCTCACGGACAGAAAATCACGTGACCTCGGGAACCCTACGCTCCCAGACACCCTGTTGGGTGGCTTCCATCATTTGGCTTTTTTTTTTTTTTTTAATAAGTGAAGAAATGGGCTCAGAGAGGGTCAGTGAGCAGCCCAAAGTCACACAGGCTCTGAGCAACAGGCCAAGGGAAAAAAACCCACATTCTCCTTTTATCCGCAATACTGTCACCTCAGAGAAAGTCCCTCTGGAATCCTGGCTCCTCTGGGAAAGAGGGGTGAGGAGACACTCCCAGAGAGGGCACAGAGTAGATCCAGGCTCCATTTCCCCAATCAGACCCAACCCAAGTCAGTCTGGGAGGGAGGTCCCCTAGCCGTCCCCAGGATCTCCACCCCCGACCCCTTCACCACCCTCCTGGGCACAGGGGGGACACGTGGATATGGGGGAGACCAAGAGGGGAGGAAAGGAGGAGGGAGAGCAGGTGGAAAGGAGAGGAGGTTGAAGAGCTGCAGGGAGCAGGGGACCCGCCCTAGGGCCACATCATCTGTCCCTTTGTCCCACTCCAGAGGACTGAGGGCTCCGTGGGGCAGGGGACTTTGGCTTGGCCAGTGGAGAGGAGGTGCAGAGGACCAAGGGACAGCAGCACCTTTACAGCTCCCGCCCGAGGGAGGGCAGTGGGCGGGGGTCGTGGGGGCCACCGTGGGCAGTCGCCTCGGCTCCTACAGACCTGGGCCGAGTGCGCCCTGGCTGGCCAAGCGTGTGACCTGGGGCGGGTCCCCCTTCCCATGCCTCCAGTTTCACTTAAGAAAACGCTCACGAAGGAGCCACAGCCCCAGGATGCACGTCCTCTGACGGGGTGTTGGCTGCGTGGACCCCACCGTCGGACCGCGAGTGGCCTGGGGTCTGGTGGCCTGGGGTCTGGTGGCCCTGTGCCTAGTTTGCCAGATGAGCTGTGGGCCCTTGGCCAGGGCTGGTGGGAGCTCAGGGGTCCGCAAGCGTCTCTGCCTCGGGTTCTGGGCCCGACAGCCGCAGGGCGAGGCCCCTGTCGGATGCCCTGTCCCTACGGGGAGGACCCCAGGGGTCTAGGAGGGACAGGGATGGGCCTGTGACCACACTGCAGGAGGGGACTGGGCCCAAGCCCCCGATCATTTCTCTTCCCCCATCAAGGGACACTGTCCCCCTAGGACTCTTCTGCGGGGGGCGGTCCTGGGGCAGGGGAGGTACTTACAGCACTGGCTGCTGGGCACGGGCAGCGGCTTGTCCTGCTCGTCGTGGAAGGAGTACTGCAGAGAGGGACAGGAGGCGCTCAGGGCCAAGAAGGTCCCCAGCCCTGTGTCCCCTCCCGTCGGCCTCCAGCCCCTGAGAAAGAGGGGACAGAGCAGGGGAGGGGGCGGGGGGAGGGAGTGGAGCAGATAGGTGCCAAGGGGAGGCTCTGTCCTTGCCGCACTGCGCGTCCCGTCCCCCTGCTTCACAACTGGCACCCAAGTCCCCGTCCCCCACCACCGTGCCCACCCTGCCACCGCAGCTGCATGACGGAGCCCTCTGAACAGACGCAGGGAAGAACAGGCCAGGACTGGGGACAGAGGGGGCGAGGGGGAGGGGGAGGGGAGGGGAGGCCGCACCTCGTCCTGGTCCCTCAGGGTGTTCAGCTGCTCCAGCTTCTTGGCCCAGTACCGCGCCTCCTCCTCGGGGATGTCTGCGGGCACAGCGGGCTGAGGCGGCGGGCAGGTGGCCCCAGCTGAGGGCTCCCTGCCCCTGGCCGTCTCTCCTCCCGGCAGCCTGAGGCCCCACCGAGGCCCAGCCGGGACCCCCAGACCTGAGCCCCGAGGGTCGGGGGCATCTGCCACTCATAGGTGACACACAGGGGACAGGACGGTCTCAGGCATGCAGTGGGGACACCTCTGCCAACTCGGTGCCCCTTGGAGACGCCCTTCTGGACCCGGCCACTCCCCTGGACTGGGGGGGACATGGGGAAGCCGTGACTCACCCAGGGGCAGCTCGAAGCGCGTGTCCAGCAGGATGCGGTGGAACGTGGGGTCCTTGGTGCCGCAGATTTCGCTGTCGGCCATGATCACCTGGGAGTCCAGCGTCAGCCACTCTCCAGGGCCCTCCTGGGGTCGTGGGAGGGTGACGGGGCCAAGGGCTCTGGTTAGCTACGGGGATCGTGTCCCCAGCAGGCACCCCTCACCCATATCACCCCCACCCGGAGGGCAAGGGTCCCGTCCCCACTTTATAGTGAGGAAGGCCTCAGCCCAGAGCCATGGGGCAGGTCAGGGAGGCGAGGACCCAGGAGAGCAGGCAGGCGCTGGTGCAGCTGTGTCACGAGGGGTTTGGGGACTCTGGCTTCACACTCCTCCCACCGCCCAAGGAGGAAACGCCCAAAGAGAATGAGCCTGTTCCCTGATGATTCGGGGACATGGGCCCTGTGAGCAAGGGGGTCCACTCTGAACCTCAGTGTTTTCATCTCTTAAATGAGAACAGTCTCCTGTGGAGTCCTCTGACTGCTGCCCGTGTGACCAGGCCCCCCTCACACTTGGGGGGCCACTCGAGGCCTCTTTTGAGGCTCATTTGCTTGAACTGTCACATTCATTTCCTCCCTTGTCCTGGTTCATTCAATCATGGACTCAAAACCAAATGCTCCCTGGAGCCACCTCTGTGCCAGCTTCATGCTGAGTGACGCCAGGGTCCCCAAGGGCCCCAGGCATCAGTCTGGCTCCTGAAGAGCTCACAGTCCTGGGAAGCAACGCTGGGCCCCTGAGGTCAGGGCCAGGCCTGAGGGCTGCAGGGACGTTGGCCAGGGCTTCAGGAGGGAGGTGTGAGCTCAGAGGGGAGTGGAAGGGAGGGCGCTGGGGCCCAGGAACAGCATCTGCAAAGACTCAGAGGCCAGGATCTGCACAGTGAGCAGGCCGAGCCAGGGCCTCCCAAGGGACAGGGCAGGGACAGCTCAGAGCTCCAGGCCCTAAGATCCTGCAGCGGTCAGCACAGAGTGGGTAAGAATCAGGTCAGGAGGCCCAGAGGGGAGGCCAGAACTGAGCTGTGGGGACAGGGAGGTCACCAGAGTGGTCCCCACCCTCTGGTGTGGTGTGAGGGCGGAGGTGTTGGGCTTCTGTCTACACTGTCCTCTGGCTGGTGTCATCCTGCTGCCCTCCGGGGGCGCAGAACACTAGCTGCCCACATCCCCCTCCTTCTTCCATAGAAATCTATTTGTAGCTGTGATGGGGGCATGGCTTAAGACTACATTTCCCAGAATTCACTGAAGCCAGGTGGAACCACAGTTCAGTTTTGGCCAATGGGATGTATTTAAAATGCTGGGAGCAGCCTCCAGGTTGGGCCTTAGCTAAGCAGGTGAGCACTCCCCTTTACTACCTTTCCTTGGCTGGAATGAAAATGCAACGATGAGCCTCAAACAGCCACTTTGGACCATGAGGTAGAAGTCATATGGGAGAGCCACAAGTTGAAGGAACTTGGGCCCCAGTGGCTCTGTCTTAAGAACCCCAAAGGTATACATAGATGTTGTCGGGGGCAGAGAGTAAATGCCCATCTTGTTTAGGCCACAAGCCTCTGAGCACTCCTCTTCCCCACCTTCAGCCCACCCACCACTCACCTCATTGGACTGTCGGATGGTCCTCAGTGGGATCCACACAGTGCCCACCATTGTGTCCCAGATGAGACCCTTGTTCCACACCTCTACAGTCAGTCCTAAATCCAGGCGGTTAATCTCACTGTGGAAAGGGGAGACGGGGTATCAGGGGAGCAGCGGGGAGAGCATGGGAGCTCAGAGAGGTTAGTTCGTTTGCCTGAGGATGCACAGCATACTGCAATTTAACCCCCCTAGCTGGATGGCAAGAGGGGAAACTGAGGCCAGAGGTGGGCACTGACTGGCTTTGAGTACCACAGAAGCCAGCCAGGAGGGAAGGAGCGGGGACACATGTCACATGTCTCCCACGTCTGTCTTCTGAGCCCTGCTGGAGCCTTCGACCCTGATGACGCAGGAGCGTGAAGAAGCTGCTGAAACCCCGACCTGGCCCCACTGTACCCCATAACAGCATCTGGGTGTCTCCAGCCTTGCAGTGTCACCTCTGCTGAACAGGTGGGGACGCTCCTGAGCACATGAACACGTGCACTTTCCCGCCCTTTCCCTGAGGGTTCACCCTGGAAATGGGCCAATTCAGGGACTGCCTGCCCCTCCCCCGCACACCATCCCCCACCCCCCACCCCCCCCCCCCCGGGGGTGGGGGTGGGGCTTCCCTGGAGGGGACACAGCTGAGATCCAAAGGACAGGCTGCTGCTTGGGGCGAGGAGAAGAACGCAAGTGCTAAGGCCCTGGGGCAGGACCAACCTGGGCTGTGGGAACCTGTGGCTGGGGCCGGTGAGGAGGAGATGGAGAGGTGCTGGCGGGGACAGTGGGCAGGAGTGTGGCTTTATTCTGAGGTCGACAAGCTACGGACACGTTTGGAACAGAGGAGTGACAGGATGTGATTTACAGTTTTAAAAATATCCCCCTGGCTGCCTGGAGCAGAGCAGATTGTGGGGGGCGGGCCGCAGCGGGAGGCCGGGGGCGGAGGCCGGGACTTGGCCGGTGGCTGCTGAGATAAAGGGAAGCGGTTGGATTCTGGATGCGCTTTGGGAAAGGGCCGGCGGGGCAGGGAGGGACAGGCCACTCGGCTCCCTGGCGGTGCCAGGCACTGCCCGAGGTGGCCGGGATGCGGGCAGGGGCGTGGCTGAGCTGGACGGGCAGACTCACAACATGAAGTCCTGCTCCCAGCTGGGCTGGCTGCCGCGCACCGCGATGGTCGTGCTCTTGACATTCTGCACCTTCAGGGTCACGTACGTGTTGAATTTCTCTGTGGCGGTGACAGCAGAGTCAGCGACGCAGTTCAGGGACTGCACTGCCCGCTCCCGAGTTCTGGGTCCCCGAGGTGACCCGCAGGGGCTCCTGCCCGGCCAGCCCTCCCCACGCCAGGCCCCCAGGCGACAGGCCGGGCTGGGGAGGGGACACCTGAGATGGGGAGACCTGGCATCTGGGGCCTCACCCAGCTGCCTAGAAATGACCAGCTCTGGGGCTGGGGGCGTGGCCGGCTGGTGAAGCCCCTGCTGGCCTGAAGTCCCCAGGTCCGCCCGGGAACATGGGTTCCTCTTGAGACCAGGCCTTTGGTTTTGGCTGGGAAGACCAGGGTCCCAGAAAAGGGACAAAACTGACCGTGAGAAACTCCCTTTGGGGCTGGGGCTGGGGCCCAGTGGCAGAGGGCCTGCCTGGCACCGGAGAGGCACTGGGTTGGGTCCTCAGCACCGCATACAAATAAATAAAATAAAGGCGTGGGGCCATCTACAACTACAAAAAAGATTTTATTCTAAATAGAAAGAAAGAAAAAAAAAACTCCCTTTGGTTTTTGCTTTTCTGGACCTCGGTATCCTCATCTGTAGCAGGTCTGTCCCTGCCGGGCTTCCCGAGACCCCCTGGGAAGCCAAGGCTCGGAGTGAGCCCCACTGGCCTGGGCTAGCGGGGTGGAAGGTGGGGACACGGTGGAAACAGGGCCATCCCAGGCCAAAGGCCCCCTCCCAGCTCCACCCTCCCACGCCCCTCCTCCCTGCGCAGAAACCAAGTCTGAGTCTGGATGCAAAGCCAGACAGCCTCCCAGCCTCTCCAGGGACAGACAGACAGACAGAACATCGGAGCGGCGCTTACCTTGGGCACCATCAAACTTGGCTTTTTTGACTGTGGAGAGAGACAGAGAGGGAGGAGAGGAGGGGGGAGGTGGAGGGGACACAGATGGACAGACATCCAAGCCAGAGCCACAGACGCAGAGGAGAGACACAGAGAGTCACAGACACCGAGAGACACGGGAGAAAGCCACAGCCAACCAAACAAATGAACGAGGCAAAGCCAGGGACAGCAACAAGGAGGATGAAGGAGGTAGGGGGGAGAGAGAGAGAGAGAGAGAGAGAGAGAGAGGTCATCAGATAGATGAGTACAGGCAGACCTAGGGTGGGAGGAAACTGGACCACGGGAGCAGTCCCCACAGTCCCCCACCTCCCACAGCCCCAGCCCTCCTGGAGTTGAGCCTTCATCTGCAATGGAGTAAGAGTCCTAAGAAGGAACGGGGCAGGTGACCATAGAAGCCTCCTCCAGGAAGCCCTCCAGGATTGATTGCCTCTGAGCAGTGTGGAAGGGGTGGGTGTGAGGACGGCTGCAGCCCAGGGGCCCTCGAGGTCCAGGTGCGACTGGTTTACAGGACAGGAACTTCCCTTCACAGCATCTCGGCCCCTCCCGAACCTGCTCCCCGTGGGACCCTAGTCCCTCTTCCCTTCTCCCTCCTTTCACCGCCCCCTTCTTTTCCACAGCACCTGGACCAAACCGAAGCAATCGAAGGACTATGCCTGGAGAAGAAGTTCTTCCCCTGCCCCCCGCCCCAGGGAACCCGGGTCCTCCTGACCCCAGAGATGGTCGCGCACCCCCTTCTCACCGCCCACCCTCTGTTCTGCGCCCTCGGGTTTGTTTGTATTTATTTATTTATTTATTTATTTATTTGGGGATTGAACCCAG